AATATGTGAAATTACACTTAATATACGTTATAAGTCGTCTTTTCCATCAATAAGTGCATGTACACCTATGAATAAATGAATTTTTTACAGTGAAATTCCACTTATTATAAATGTATATGCACTTATTGAACGAGAGAGCGACTTATAACTTACAAATTTGTGAATTTTCACATATTCAAATTTATAGAGTAGATTTAATCATAGGGTCGGATTTTACTGAACGTTTCCAATTTTTTCGGTGATTACTGAAAACATAATTTTGAAGAAATAAATTTCTTGTAGTTTCTATAAAATAGTATAAAATTTTGTAATCGTTTTTATAATGAAATTTTAAATTTAGTATTCAGAAGGAATTATAAATTTCAAATTTTATTTGTAGTATAATAAGTAGTAGAAAAATTCTTAAAATTTTTTACAATTAATTAATGAATGCATTAATTAATTCTTAATTTTGAAATGAAGTGAAAAAATTAGAAAAGTAAGTTATTTTTTTTCTAAGGGTTTAAAATTACACAAAATTTGAGAAAACTTTAGTAGTATAGTAGTAGCAAATTTTATTAAAGACCAATTTTAATGTAACATAAATAAGAAAAGAAAGACACTTTTTTGAAACTGAACTATAATCATATTTTTTGTTATCTTCTTCAAAAATAATTCATAATTATCTAAATAGCTTATTCGTTTTCGATTGTATTAACAGGTTCTGCAATATACCGTACAATATGTCCATTTTCTCGCATAATTTCACTTTCAAAGCATACAGTTTTTAAACAATTTAAATCTAAAACATCAGTTTCATTCGAAATACTTTCGATTCGGTGTATAAAATTCAAGCCAATTTCTGGTAAGACAGTCAAGGGGTAAGCGAGATTTGTTATAATTTTTTTTATAACTACGAAGTAATTTGCTGGACATTGACAATCATTTCTACATTCACAATACGCAACTTTCAAAAAAAAGTGTATTCTTCCGAATTTGAATATATTATTATCAATATATTTTACAAAACTTGAATTTGTACATTTGGCCCTGGTATATATTTCGGAAGTAAATAATATCTTGTTTTTTAATAATTTCTTAAAAATAACATGCTTTGTAGCTACGATTCCTTGATCAATAAGTCCCATTAAAAGTTCATTGTCGATGCGCACTTTAGAGAGCCCACCAACTATAAACAAAGAATCACCTATAGGCCTCAGTTTCATTTGCTTGGTAGGAGATAAAAACTTTTTACAAAATGCATAAGATTTACTTTCCACATTTAGCATTTCCTTATGTAAAGTAAATGTATTAATAAATAAGGAGGCACCAAAATACATTTGAAGCTGAGCGCACTTGCTTCCATGAATTAAATTTTTCAGAATACCGTTAATATTTTCGAAAGTAAAACAATTATAAACAAACAGTGGACCCAACAGTTTAACAACCATAGGTAAATGCAGAAGAGAATGAACATTGCATGTCATATTTTCCAAATCATAGAGGTATGCAAACCTAGAAACAAATTCATTGAGCATTCGAGTAGCATTGTCTAACATTTCTTGAGAAATGCTTGGTTGACAAAGTAAGTATATTGCACCTACTAGTAATTGTAAATGTTCAAAGTAATCGGCAGATAATAAATCTTCTAAAATTGGAAGAGAGTAATAGAAGAAAAACGTTTTGTACATAGATGCTTTCCAAAGTTTAATGTTATTTTTTATTGATAGTAAACGTCTTTGAATGAAGTTTGGTGGAAGGAGAGATTTAATTCTTTGATCCACGACAGTCACAGTTTCGAGAATAGAATAACGTTTTCCAGCAAAATTAGGATCAAACCAAAAAGTCATCAATGATTTAAATACACCAATAAAAACCATGTGCATTGCGTCGAGTGATGTAGTTGTTATCCACTTATATACTAAATTAGACAATATGGTTCGACCTTTTACTCCAAAACTTAAACTTTCAGCATGCTCTAACGTTTCATCTTCGTTCCGCAGAAGAACATTCTTTTTATACGGATACACTTGCCGGTTTCCCAATCTCTGTCCTTCTTGCAAACATCTGTGACACCCAAATTTTCCATTATATTGTTTCATGTTTAGAAATAACGCCTTTGCCGGAAGATCGCAGGAGCCACAAATAATCATTCCCTTCACACGTATCACTTCATCATTTGACAATCGCACATCAATGCCGTTATGTAATTGGCGCATTTCGTCATATAAAGGAGATAAAAATAAGTTTGGAAACGGTTTTTCATCGCCAAACCACATACCAGCTAAAATTAAATTTTCCTTTTTGAATCTTTCTTCATATGGCAGTTCGTTAATAATTAAATAAAAGGGCCAAAATGAAAACTTCGATGTTTTAAAACCCTTCACTCCGTCAGTGTACCAGGACAAGGATATGTTATTTCTGTTTGCCAAAAATCCACCAGGCTTACTTAAATCCCTATATACACTCCCATCATAAATATCCTCAATATTATTCGGATCTAATTTTTCACGATTAAATCGGTAATTCAATTTATCTCGAAAACCTCTTCTTAAATAAAGAGCTTGAATTTGATCTTTAACAGAAATTGATAAGAAATAATTAGAATCTATTGTTTCCAAACATTGAGGACATTGCCTAACCTGTTGATCAAGGAAAATTAAACAAATTGGACAATAATAATGTCTCGTAACGGGTGTGTGCAAATTCTCAAAATATTGTTTAAATGTGTACAAGCTAGTTCTACAAAAATTGGGTTCGGGACAATGCAAAGCAATTAGTTGTAGAATACCCGCAAGAACTACGCCTGATAAGGAAAATTTTAAAACTAGAGCAAGAATGCTTAAAATGCTTTCTCCTATAGTAATTGGAGATCCCTCGTATAGTGGCAAATCATCATCATCTTCGATATCATTATTATCTTCAAATTCATTTGGATTTTCACCATCAGTGCTAGCCTCGGAGTTACTATCAAGATCTACATCAGTTTCATTAGCATCATTATTCGAATCATAATCAGTACTACTTGCTTGTGACGAATCAATTTCAGTATCTAAATCGACTTCTTCATAATCCCAACCTAATAAAAGAAATTTTTCAGAAAATGAGTATTTTTATTGAGAACTGAATTAGTCAATTGTATTAGAACAAAAATAAATTGTGATTGGTACTCACACAGCACAAGATCTTCCTGGAGGATACCGGGAAGCTTTCCAATCCTTCTTTGAAAGTGTAGAGGTAGCTTTTTCTAGACTCATATTTTGAGCTTCTAGGAAGCTTCTTTAAAACTTACAAAGGAAGATTGTGCAGATTCCACTAGATCTTGTGCTGTGCGGCTAACGTTGAATAATTTTTTATTTTTTCATATATATTTTACATGTTAATTTAATAAATTAAATGTGTACTTTAACAAAAATCCAGAAATATTTTTTTGGTTACATTGAAGTAACATTTAATATTTTAAATGTTATCGTAGCGGATAAAGTTTCGTTACGGTATGTACTTCAAATGATAATATAAATTAAGAGTATGTACTTATAAATTTAGAAAAATTACCTGTAAAGTTTTAAACCAATCACAATTTAAATCGTTAAAGTGTGCTAATCTTTAATTTTAAAAATTGATAAAAATGTTTGTTGAGATTTGTGAAAAAATTAATGAAACTGAAGTTACCAACGTTTGTTCGACGAAAAATATAATACGTAAAAATTTCCCCGCCTCAGATCCAATTTTTTTTCCACATTTATTATAGATACTAATATTAGAAGTCATTAGAAATTATTTTCAAGTGGAACCAGGTCGGGGAGGACAACGATTTTGATTTTTGGCACGGATTTTTCGAAAAATCCGCGACAAAAAATCAAAATCATTGCCCTCCCCGACCTGGTTCCAGTTGAAAATAATTTCTTATGATTCCTGACATTAGTATTTTTAATAAATGTAGAAAAAAAATTGGATCTGAGGCGGGGAAATAGAAATTGTTTCGAAATTTCTGAATTTTCGAAAAATCAGTGACAACAAAAATGTCAAAATCGTTGCCCTCCCCGACCTTGTTCCACTTGAAAATAATTTCTAATGACTTGTAATATTAGTATCTATAATAAATGTGGAAAAAAAATTGGTTCTGAGGCGGGGAAATAGAAATTGTTTCAAAATTTCTAAATTTTCGAAAAATCCGTGACAAAAAATCAAAATCATTGCCCTCCCCGACCTGGTTCCACTTGAAAATAATTTCTTATGATTCCTGACATTAGTATTTTTAATAAATGTGGAAAAAAAATTGGATCTGAGGTGGCGAAATAGAAATTGTTTTGAAATTTCTGAATTTTCGAAAAATCCGTGATGAAAAGAATGTAAAAATCGTTGCCCTCCCCGACCTGGTTCCACTTGAAAATAATTTCTAATAATTCCGGACATTAGTATTTTTTGTAAAAGTGAAAAAAAAAATTGGATCTGAGGCGGGGAAATAGAAATTGTTTCGAAATTTCTGAATTTTCGAAAAATCAGTGACAACAAAAATGTCAAAATCGTTGCCCTCCCCGACCTTGTTCCACTTGAAAATAATTTCTAATGACTTGTAATATTAGTATCTATAATAAATGTGGAAAAAAAATTGGTTCTGAGGTGGGGAAATAGAAATTGTTTCAAAATTTCTAAATTTTCGAAAAATCCGTGACAAAAAATCAAAATCATTGCCCTCCCCGACCTGGTTCCACTTGAAAATAATTTCTTATGATTCCTGACATTAGTATTTTTAATAAATGTGGAAAAAAATTGGATCTGAGGTGGCGAAATAGAAATTGTTTTGAAATTTCTGAATTTTCGAAAAATCCGTGATGAAAAGAATGTAAAAATCGTTGCCCTCCCCGACCTGGTTCCACTTGAAAATAATTTCTAATAATTCCGGACATTAGTATTTTTTGTAAAAGTGAAAAAAAAAATTGGATCTGAGGCGGGGAAATTGAAATTGTTACGTATTATATTTTTCGTCGAACAAACGTTGGTTTCATAAAAATTAATAGAATAATCAAAATGTTTTCTATATATCTTATACCTTCGTCAGTTATCTCGCTTTCGTCACTATGAATATTCACATTAGAATTATCGCTTATTGAGGCTTCATTATCTCCAATACCATCAGTCTAAATATAAAAAATCACCGCTTAATTTCTAAAAACAGGAAAACATGGATTTGGCTCTCAAAATTTTACATACACTTACTGAATTAGAAAAATCTGAAAAATCTGAATCTTCGGTTAAATCGTTGGCAATTCGCAATTGCGTTTTTCTGCTAAATAATTCAAAATCTCGAACTCGTGGCATTTTAAAGCAAAAGATTACAAATTGACTTTATTAATGCAAATTGAAATTTCAAAAAAATTCGATTCGATTTAATTTGACATTGACTTGATGAAATTAGCGGCGAAACAAAGGCAGTTTGATTTTTAAAAAACATATGTAAGTCTATATGTTACGTTGCCCTTGACAACGAAGTTTCGTGAACGAGATTTGACAGCATTGAAATATAGGCAGCTTCACTTTGACATAATGGAAACAAAAATGTATATGCTCGTGCAATGGGTAAAAAAGCCAAATGAAGTGACAGTAATGGAGGAAACTGAAAGCGCAAAAGAAATAAATGAGGGAGAAATATTTGATATTGACTATCCGAAAAAAGGAGTTTTTAAAGCAACTCTTCTTCAAAGGAGTGGTAAACAATAATAATGTTTATTTACAATTGTCACTAAAATAATATTATTTTTTATAAAAAACTTATTACTGTTATTTTATAATATATTTTTATATTATTTACAAATAATGTATTATTATCATTGTTGTTATTATTATTATTGTTAATATTTTTATTAATATTATGATTATTTCATTATTATTATTGTTAATATTTCTATTAATATTATTATTATTTTATTATTATTATTATTATTATTATTATTATTATTATTATTTTTTTTTTTTTTATTCACTTCTGCAAAATTTCATTTATAATTTGCAATTTACTTTTTAGTTTAACTTTTTTTTATTAATTTTTTAAATATTTCTCCCTCATTTATTTATTTTGCGATCTTAGTTTTCTCCATTATCGTTACTTCTTTTGGCTTTTTTACCCATTGCGGGAGCATATATATATACATTTTTCTTAATTTATTATTATTATTATTAATATTATTATTATTCTTATAAAAATAATAGCAACACTCTTACTTATTTCTACAGTCTGTAGAAAAAAATAATACATAATTTTAAATAGAGTTTTTAATTTTGTAAATAAAATATTTATAATTTTCATGTACCTATTTTAGAGTCAAAAGACTTTTTAGAAAAAATGAGCAGAAATGTAAATAGAGACGGGACCACGACTGAACAGAAGAAAAATAGAAATGTCAGAAAAGTAAAAACTCAATCCACGAAGGAGAAGGCTCAATTAAAATTAAAAACGAAGATGAGAGAGCAAACAAAATCAGTTTTAGAAAAAAAAATTTCATCACTGCACCCAATTTGTGGTAAATTAAATAATACATAAATATGTTTTAACTCTATGTGTTTCTAAAAGGATTTTTAAATAAATTGGAATATAAATTTAACGATGCATTTGCAAATAAGAATTTGCAAATTAATGAAAACAAATAGAAGTAACAATATTCACTTAATAGTTAAATGTTAATTAAATTTAATACTTTTTCTAAATATGTACACTTACATTTTTTAATTTTAATGTAAATTTAAAATTTTAATTTTTTTACATTTCCACGAAAATAAAAGTAATTAAAATTTTAGAGAATATTTAATTTTTTAAAAGTAAATTGTAAATTGTAAATGACATTTTTCAGAATTTTTATATTATATCTTTACTACTATTTCCATATATTTTGTATAGATAATAAACATGATGAAACTACTAATTTTGATTGTATAAATGATGTTCAAAGTGATGGTGTCAATAATATAAAATATAGTAAACAAACAAAAGCTGAAGAAATAACAAAAATTAATGATAAAAAATTAAAAAGTCAATGTGAAAGTGACAAGGTTCATTTAGCACTGAAAAAGAGAATGAGAGCCCAAACGAATAAAATTATACAAAAAGAAATTTCTAATTTTTCATTAATTTGCGGTTGTTAAATATATTATTTTCTTTTAACTTTTATCCAATTTATAGATATATAAAATCTTTGTGGAAGAATTATATTAAATCTTTCAAAATTTTACAGAGGATGCAGATAAGAAAACCGCTAATAAAAGTGTGAGTGTGAAGAATAAAGAAAAATTAGAATTAGAAAATCAAATGAAAAGGGACGAAGCTCATTTAGCACTGAAGAGAAAAAAGAATGTTAAGATGAATAAGACTGATGAAAAACAAATCTCCAAAATGTTCTCAATTGTAGAATCTCCTTCAACATCGATATTGCCTACAACTTCTGTGTTACGTTCAACTTCCAAATCACCTTCAACTTCTGAATCGCCTTCATCAACTGAATCACCTTTTACTATTGAATCGCCTTCAATTATTGAATCGTCTTCAACTACTGAATCGCCTTCAACTATTGAATCGCCTTCAACCACTGAATCGCCTTCAACTACTGAATCGCCTTCAACTACTGAATTTAATTTAACATCGAAATTGACCTCAATTTCCGCATTAAATTCAACTTTCAAATCGACTTCAAATTCAAAATCGTCATTAAGCTTCAAATTGCCCCAAAAAACAAAATTAGTTTTAACTTCTACACCACCTTTAACGTCAAAATTGTCCTCAACTTCCAAATTACATGCAACTTTAAATTTAGCATCAAACTCCAAAAAGTCTACAAAGTCAAAATTTTCTTCCGAATCATCTACAACTTCCGAACAGCTATCAAATTCCGGTAATTTACATTAAAAAATTACATATTTTATAGTGTTTGGAAAACCAAAGAATTATTCTTTTATAGAATTATACTCAGTTTTAAATTTGTTAAAGAGTGATTTAAGCTATTTATCTTTATTTATAATCTATACTATTAAATCATTTATTTCTTTAATTTATCTAATCACATTATTTAAAATATTTTTATTATTGAAATTATTTTATTAGTGAAATATTTGAAAAATTAATTAATTTAAAATAATGACAAAAAAATTTAATATATTAGGTAATACAAACGAAGATTCTCAAAATAATACCACACAACATGAGAAATCAATTAATTTGCTCTTCGATGAACTGAAAGCAAAATGTAAGAAAAAATGAATTATTTTAAATTATTTAAAGATTTAAATTTAGCGCATAATAATAATTTTTCGGAATTTTTTTTAGTTACACCAGAAGTTATCAATTTTTGTGAGATACTATTAAAATTTACTAAAATGTCCTTAAATCAAAATGGTGAAGTAATATCTTCTGTGAGTACTGCATTTAAAATTTGTATTCTATATTTTAAAATATGTTTTCGTTATAATTAACTTATTTGGTTATAACAGATAATGGAAAATTCCTTAAAGACATCTAATATGACGCCATTGTTTGAAGGATCGGATATCCTTATAAATGAAAATAAACTGTTTTTAATGAAGCGATATAGACATAAGCCAAGGGAATTAACTCGTCAATTAATGTTGGAATTAGTAGGACCTGAAAAATTAAAAACTATGACAGCGCTCGGAAAAACAGGAAATGGAATTCCCGAAAATATAAGAGCTAATGTCTATAGTTAGTATATTCATATAATATAGATTTTTATAAGTTATAGAGGAAATTTTAAATCATTTTTGTAAATACAACAAGAATTTTTTGTAATTTTCAATATTATAATATTTAAATTTTAGAATATGTGCACGTTAGAAACAAACATTTTACTGAGGTGGAATTTAGATCTGTCTTAAATTATCAATGTGGAACTTTGAGAAATCCTAAAGGTGGAAAAAAAGATCATTCAGAAATAGAAAAGGTTAATGATAATGAAAAAGATATAAATAAAAAAACAAATGAAAAAGATAGTCACCGTGAAAAAAATAGCGAAGATGAAGTGAATGAAGACGACAATAGTTTTGCAGAGAATGGTGAACATTCCGAGACTACTAATGATGATAACGATAGCGAAGAAGAATCAGAAAGTGAACTTGATAAGAATACTGAGAATGAAGAGGATGACAGTGAGCATGAAAGTGAACATGGAAAAAATCTTGAAGAGCCAAAGAAGAAAAAAACAAAATTTTTTTAAATTACATTACAATTTTCATTACTTTTTTTAAATAGCTAAAAGACTATTTAAAAAGTGCTTGTTCTACCTAGAAACCACTTGAATCTATACTTATATTAACGTTCTCTTCTATTTAATATTAAGCCATATTAATTTAATATTAATATTAAATAAAATAATTAATTTAATAATTTAAATACTACCAAATTGTATTATTTAATTTTTAAATTTAAAGACAGGCTTCAATTTCTTTTAAATTTTAGATCTTCTCGGAGACATGAAATAAAAGTATTTTTATTCCAATTCATAAAGTTTACCTATATTTTTTGCAATTTCAATTTAAAAAAAAGTTTTTGACCATAGCTTTTTAAAAAATAAGGCTTTTTAAAATTGTTTAAAAATGTAGGAGTAACTTTAAAAGTCTCATAACTTCGATTTTCCTATTTATAAACTAAATTCGATCAGAAATTACAAAATTATAGATATTTGAAAAACCAAATATTGTGGAAAATATTATTTTCTCAACTTTTCTTTTCTCTCTTTTTTCTTTTTTATATTATAATCGCATATTAAATTAAGAAAGTCTAAAAAAAATGCAGTTTAATCTGTAGTTGAATTAAATTGCGCAATTAAATTACGTGATTTTAAAAAGTCCCATACTTTGCCCATAGTTTGGCACAAGTAGCGGCGAAATTCCATCGACTGTTTCATTCTTGACTCATAGTATGGCACAACTTGCGGCGAAATTTCATCGAATGTTGGACTTATAGACAGCCAAACTTTAACTATGGGATTTGGACAAAACCCATAGTTGAGCCACTGCACATTAATCTTGGGTGAAATCTTAAAAAAACTTCATCCATAGTTATCCCATACTTTCTATTTCCACGCGGGTGTATTTAAACTAGTTCTTCGTATTCACTTTACTACCCAAAGTAGTTGGATTTAAAAAAAATTATTTTCTGTGTATTTTAATTTTAAATTAAAAAAGAATAATAATTAATAGTTTTTGATTATTAATTAATAATTAATATGTTATAACAAAATTTAATATAGGGAAGTTGGATATTTATGTAAATAATTATTAAAATACGGCGTCAAGAAATATTAACATTTTTATATTATATTGCGCAGGGTTTTCTCTTGTTGTTATTTTATTTATTTTTTAATTTTCTTATAATTTTATAATATTATATTATTCATTTTTTCTAAAATTATTACATTAAAAAAACCTTTTTTTAGAACTCCCCATTATATTCTCTTGCAGTTACCTAAAGGCGCTTGCACACTTCCAAATTTTTAGGCGAGCAGCGAATTTTCACGGCCTTGAAATGCACATTACTAAATATGATTGGCTCTGACAAAGTACATTTTCACGCAGCTTTTTGTAGAGCCAATCATATTTAGTAATATGAGTTTCAAGGCCATGAAAATTCGCTGCTCGCCCAAAATTTTGGAAGTGTGCAAGCGCCTTTAAGGTGCTTCTATACCTCCGGTGGATTGGTCAAGCAATCGGCTCGATGAATTTTCACGGTCGGAAAATGTACTTTCATGGCGGGTATTTTTGAATAAGTAAATGTTGAAAAGGTTTTAACTTCAAAATTTATTTTAAAAAATGATTTTATCATAGAAATTCTTTTGAAATTTATGTTAAAAAACATGTTTTATTTTAAAAGTTATCAAATTTTAATTCAAAATGTTTTAATTTTCCAAAGAAGTGTAAAAAGCCTAATGTTTTTGAAATGCTAGTACAGACGGTACAGACTGTTTGTTATGAATGTACATAACCTAGAGTTGTGTTGTCGTGCTTGTGATATTATTATATTCTAAATTTAATGATTTAATTATTATTATCCTTATTAATAAAATCAGACTTTTGTCTGTACATTGCATAGAATTCAAAATTTCTATTATATTCCTTCTTTTTACACTCTAAGGAATGCGAAAATACTATTAAGAAAATTATGTGTGTATGTGTATATGTGTGTATGTGTATATGTGTGTATGTGTGTATGTATGTCCGCAAATTTTCGACCGCGTATCACGGAAAAACGGTTCGATCGTTTGAAGTAAAACTTGGCAGTCTTTTAGGCATTAGCCTAACTTAAAATCCTAGCGATAGTAGATTAAAAAATATTAATATGGACGAAAGTTATGCCATTTTTTCAAAAATTCGAAAATTCGAAATTTTTAGTTTTTTCATATACTTTAGTGAATTGTACTTAAACTTGGTACAGGGTTAATTTTAGTGGTTTCTTATTAAGATTTAATCGTCAGAATAATAAAATTTTGAATAACAAATAAAAAGTGTTAGATTTAAATATTGAAAAATTAAAAGTTTAAAAATTGAAATTTTTTTGTAATTAATTTTTATACGGTTGTATTTCTTAGGTCAACAATAAAAATTTGTTGTTGAAATCATAAGTTTACTTTCTTAAAAGCATTCTATTAGGTCAGAATATTAACAATATCCATATAGTTAATATGAGACTTTTGTCAGTATATTGCACAGAATTCAAAATTGCTATTATATTATATTAATTAATGATCAAAAAATGAAAAACTCAAATTTCATTCTGATGACTAAATTGTAATAAAAAATACTAAAATTAACCCTGTATCAAATTTAAGTAAAATTGATGACAATAATTATTTCAAAAGATTAATTTTGAATTTTAAAAATTTTGAAAATATATAGCACTAGCTGTCGTACCCGTCTTCGACGGGTTTTAGTTTCTACCAATACATTTAACAATGTTTCTACCAATCTGGAAAATCAAAAATACCCGGGAATTTAATTTCACCAGAAAATTAATAATTAGTTACCATTAGCTATTTCGGTAGTATGATTATACTATTTGAATAGTCTCCACCCTTTAGCAAAAAATCAAAAATTATCAAAAATTCGAGAAACCGAATTTCTTAAAATTTAACATTTTTTTCTTCTCTTTTATATCATTAAGCTTCATTATTTTTGCACTCTTCAAAAATACTTTACTTATATTTAATAGTCTCCACCCTTTGGTAAAAAATCTAAAATTATGGAAAATTAGCAAAAATTCAAAAAACCGAATTTCTTAAAATTCAACATTTTTTCTTCTCTTTTATGGCTTTTGGCTTCATTATTTTTGGGCTCTTCAAAAATACTTAACCTAATTTGTTATCTCCACCCTTTGGTAAAAAATCTAAAATTATGGAAAAATAGCAAAAATGCAAAAAACCGAATTTCTTAAAATTCAACATTTTTCCTTCTTTTTTATGGCATTTAGCTTAATTATTTTTGTTTAATGTAGCAAATTTCTTACTTTACATACTGATCTTTAAATAAAAACTTTAATAATTTTTCCTGAAAAGCTTGCTTAAAGATTAAAAATCACTATTTTCTTAGAAAAAAGTTGATCTAAAAAAACGAAAAAAAATTTCAAAATACGTCTTTTTTAAAAATTTTATTGTAGAAATGGGTTGTATTTATCTTAAAAAGTTAGCTAAGGATAGTTTTGCATTCATTTTACAAAAGATAAAAAATTTGCATTTTTTTGATTTTTCGAATTTTTTGGAAAAATGTCATAACTTTCGTTCAAGTTAATATTTTTTAATCGGATAAGGCTACTATTGTAAGTTACGTTAATACCTAATAGACTGCCAAATTTCACTTTAATTGGTTGAACCGTATTCAATTGATGCGCGAACAAAGTTTTGCATACAGACAGAAACAGACAGACAGAAATTTTTTTTTACATTTTTAGAATTCTAATGTCTCAAAACGAAAAAATATATAAAAATTTTCAAGTTTGGAGCAATGTACAGATAGTAATCTGATTTTATTAATATAGATAATGTTCGTTCACATTAATAACTTTTAGTTTACTATAGCTACACTAAAAAAAGTTATATGATTCAAGTAATTATAATTATTTGAAAAATAATATCTTATTTAAAAAGTTTTTATTTCGATCTAATAAGAATTTATTTCGTTTAAATAATTTTATTTAGTTAAATCAAATAAATCTTAATTGGATTAATTAAATAAATACTTGACTCTAATAAATGA